TATGTTTTTGTCTCTTTTCCTATGCTATGCTAAAGCAAACAAAACATGTTTAGTTGTTAAAACAGGCAAACTAAACACATGAACATGTCCTGCCTGCAGCCATTTTTGGTTCTGAGCCTAGCAGCTATGAGTAGGAAGAAGGAGAAGGAAGATGTGGACATGGAGGAGGAGGAGGAGGAGGAAGAAGAGGAGGAGTGGGAGGAGGATGAACCTTGGAGAAATTCCAAGGGAAGGAAGACTGGTGGGGGCACCACCTCTTGGGCTAGGCAAGCCAGAAGAGCTGCCAAGCAAGCCAAGAGGGTGGTGATGTCCACTGGCAAGCCCCTTGAAAAAGGGGAGGAAGCCCTTGCAAAAGGGAAACCCCTTGAGAAAGGGAACAAGAACAAAGCCCTTGCAAAAGGGACACCCCTTGAGAAAGGGAAAGCCCTTGCAAAAGGGCAAAATGAAGCCAGGTTCCAGGAGCTGAAGGACAAGCTGACTAAGAGCCTCAAAAAGGGGAAGCTTGGTCCCAGGCTGGAAACTGGCACACCCCTTGAGAAAGGGACAGGTGCAAGCAGCAGCAATGCTGCACCCCTTGAAAAAGGGGAAAAAAAACCTCTTGAAAAAGAGGAGGCAACAGCCCTTGAAAAAGGGCAATTCCTTGAAAAAGGAAATGTTGCCAAAAAGGTGGCAGTTCTGGAGTCAAAGACTGCCACCAACAAGCAGGCAAAATCCCTTGCAAAAGGGAAGGAGACTGCAGCCCTTGAAAAAGGGTCAGAAAAGAAGCAGTCTCCTGAAGCCCAATCAGAACCTTTGGCTGTGTTGGTTGATTGGCACCATTGCCTGAAAAATGGTCCCCAGGACACTGTGCTGGTCCAGGACCTCATGGCCCTGCAGAAGCTCCTTGACAAAGGAGTGGAGGTGCATGTGCTCTCCTTCTGTGGGGCCAAGCAGGCCCCCAAAGTTGAAAAGGAAATCTGGGACAAGCTCCCAGATCTCATTGACCAACTTCACTGGTGGGGAACCTGCACCAGTCGCACTGGGGTGGGGGGCAAGGCAGAGTATGCCACAGAGTGGGGCTGCCAGGTGGCCTTTGATGATTCAAAGGACATCTTGCAAGAGCTGGGCTCATGGGGTGTCAAAACCTATGGCATCCAGACACCCAGAGAGAGCCATGCATGGATGCCAGAAAACTCCAGGTTTGCATCCTTTGCAGATGCAGTGAAGCAGTTCATCAGAGATTACAATCTTTGAGACTGCTTCCAGCCCTTGCAAAAGGGTGCTCTGCAAAACCCTTGAAAAAGGGTATGGCTCTCACATGGCAACCCTTGAAAAAGGGTAGGTGTCTAGCCCCAATCCTTGCAAAAGGATAACCCTTGAAAAAGGGTAAGTGTCCCCACCCCCAAGGATAACCCTTGAAAAAGGGTAGGTGACTGGCCCCAATCCTTGCAAAAGGATACCCCTTGAAAAAGGGATGTCCCACCCCAAGCCTTGCAAAAGGATACCCCTTGAAAAAGGGACAGTGTCTCACCCCAACCCTTGCAAAAGGATAATCCTTGCAAAAGGATCAAATAAGAGCAACCCTTGCAAAAGGGTCATGTGGCTCAGGTCTACACACAGCATTTGCAATAACAAATGCATGTATTTACACACACATACATATACAATATAACATTGTGTGTTTCTGTTTGTTGTGTGCTAACCTGAGCCATAGCCCAGCCCTTGCAAAAGGGTCACTTGTAGCTGCAGCCCAACAGTGGTTTGTACAGAAGCTACCAAATGTGTAGCAAGCAGCAAAAAAATGAAATAAAAATAAATCAAAATAACTAAATAATTAATGTATTAAATATAAATACATGCAACTTTACACAACTTGTTTACACAACTTGTTTTTTAAATTAGAAACCTTTGCCATGGACATATGCCTTGTGAAAACCTGATGTTTTTTTGAGTTTTGCATGGACCCTAAAACAACCAAGCAGGGAAACACATATACTACTGAAAAAAAAAGGCAATGGAATAAAGTCTTTCCCAGAATGTCAACCCCTTGCAAAAGGGGCACCAAATTAAACATTATCCCTTGCAAAAGGGACACCACACACATTCAAGATTTAAGGTGTCAAGGTTCATTTTTGTAAACTGATATGTTTTCTCAAATGCTGTTTGGTGTCTGTTTCAGGCTGCAGGCAGATGATTATGTTTCTGTTGACTCTGCAGTTTCTTGATCCAAACAAATTCCACAATGATATTTGAAACAACATAGAAACACAGAGTACTAAACTGCTTCACCCAAAATTAAAAGCCAGTGAATTCATACCTGAAAAAACATGAATTAAATTTGATTTATATATATATAATAGGTTAAGATGCAGATGGGAAAATCCTTACTTGCAGAAATAAGTGTTCAAATTATTTATTTTAAGAGTCAGACACAAATAGTATCTGGAATCTATCTCAAATTATACAATATTTTTTTTAAAAAAAAATCCAGTATAGTTTCAATATAGTCCAATACAGGTTTGACAGTGAAATGTTGCCTTACTGTTTTGTTGTGTACAAAAAAGCATCAAAAACTATTTAACCTATTTGTTTTGGTTTTGAAAAGGTTTATAAATTAAAAACTATGGTTTTAAAAATGTTAGTGCCAATCCAATCCTATCCAATTCTATCAGTTTATTTGTTTTTTAACAGGTTCATCAAAAAAAATCATGGTTTTGAAAAAAAAACTGAACTTTGATGAAATTTGATGAAATTTGATGAAAACCAGGTTTTCATCAAATTTCATCAAATTTCATCAAAAAAATCATGGTTTTGAAAAAAAAACAGAACTTTGATGAAATTTGATGAAATTTGATGGAATTTGATGAAATTTGATGAAAACCTGGTTTTCATCAAATTTCATCAAATTTCATCAAATTTCATCAAAGTTCAGTTTTTTTTAAAAATTCATTTGAAAAAAATCAACAACCAGTGATTGAAACCAGATTTAGATTTGCAACACCTTGAAAAGGTTGAGATTAATGTAACCAATGTTTGTTGAACATTGGTTTTGTTATTGCATTTATATGTGTTGTATGTTTGTTTGGTTAGTAACATCAATTTGTTTTGGTTTGGAAAATATTGTAAAACACGTGTTTTGCTTAAATAACATAAATGTTTTATCTATGTTTGTTTTATATTGTTTTGGTTTGTGTTAATGTATTGCTTTGGTTTGGTTGAAAAATCACGTGTTGAAAAGATAATTTAATATTAAATATTTAGTATAATTTAATTAATAATGTACATTTATATATATATAGATATAAATATATAGTTATTAATGAACATGCTTGTGTATGATATATGCATGGTGTTTTTTATTTGTTATGTAGTTTTGACTAGAAAACTATTTATATGCCTTAATAATATATTATATGTTTGTTTTAAAACACACACATGAACTAAACCCTTCATGCAACTGCAGCCTTTTTAAACTTCAAACACTTCCAGGAAGAAAATGCCAATTTCCAAGATGGCAAAACCCTTGAAAAAGGGAATTTTGAAAAACAAGCCCTTGCAAAAGGACAAGCCCTTGCCAAAGGGCAAGCCCTTGCCAAAGGGCAAGCCCTTGCCAAAGGGCAAGCCCTTGGGAAAGGGCAAGCCCTTGCCAAAGGGCAAGCCCTTGCCAAAGGGCAAGCCCTTGCCAAAGGGCAAGCCCTTGGGAAAGGGCAAGCATCTCCCCAGCAGTGGCAGCAAGTCCTTGAAAAAGGGCAAGCCCTTGAAAAAGGGCAAGCTGTGTGCTAAGAACCTCAACAGACTTGGCAACCTTTCTTTGCAAGAGAAGGTTGCTGCAGTTTGTGAGGAGCACACTGATGAAGAAGATGCTGCCAAGGCCTTGAAAAAGGCCATGACTCCTGCAGAGAATGCAAAGGTCTGGAGCCAACACCAGACCCACTTGAAGAGAAACCCCTTGGAAAAGGGGGAGCATGATGAGAGAGGCAAGCTGGAGAAGGGGTTTGCAGCTGCCCTTTGGCTCTTGAAAAAGAGCTCTGCAGGAAGCAGATTTCTCCATGTCAAGGAAGAGGTTGCTGGCAGCACCTCTTGGAACAAAAAGGAGAAATGGAGCAGCAAGAAGGAGATGTTGAAAATATGGGAAGAAGATGAGTTTGAAGCTCATCTGTCCTCAGGCAGGATCCGCTGGAGAGAGAGTCCCACCACCTGGGGTGTGTGGGAGTACTCAGATACCCAAGACCTTGAGAAGAACTTCAAGGTCACTAAGGGTAGAACCACTGCCAGGGGTGTGGAATATGATCCTGCTGAGCAGGAGGAGGAAGCCTTTGACAGCCTTTGGTAGGCAGATGGCCACACTGGGGTGCTGGGCCTCTGCCAAGATGGAGCCAAAGGATCCCTTGGAAAAGGGAACACAAGCAAAGGCCTTGGAAAAGGCCAAGGCCTTGCAAAAGGCAAAGGCCTTGCAAAAGGCCAAGGGAAAAGCCAACAATTGGCCATCAAGGACAAGGAGGTGGAGGATGAGGAGCAGGATGAGGAGAAGGATGATGAAGATCCTGCGAAACTCCTCAAGAGAGCCAAAAGAGCCAGGGATGAATGCAGCAAGTGCATCAATGAACTGGAAGAGACCTTGCAAAAGGCCAAAAGCAGGCTCTCAAAGATGGCCAAAGATGAAATTGAGAAGAAGCTTCAGGCCTTGAAAAAGGTCCAGGACAAGTTGAAAGACTTGCTCCTGAAGAAGCCAGGTCCACCTACCTTGAAAAAGGCATTGGTGGAATGTGCCAATATGTGCAAGCAAGCCAAGGAGGAGGCCAAGGAGCTGAAGCAGCTTGCCAACAAGGCAGCCAGCAAAGCTTCTAGCATGTGATCCTTGCAAAAGGATAACCCTTGCAAAAGGGATGCTGGCTTGCACAGCCCTTGCAAAAGGGTTAGTGGCACAGGCATTCCCTTTGACCCTTGCAAAAGGGTAACCCCTTGCCAAATGCTTCCTGGCCCTTGCAAAAGGGTAGTCCCAACACTTGCAAAAGGGTGCCAGCCCTTGCAAAAGGGTCATGCAAGCCCCTTGCAAAAGGGTAGTTTTTTTAAATCCAATTTTGGTAGATAGAAGCTAGGAGAACTTCTTCACATGCCTAGAAAAAAGTTTGCTGGCTGCAGCTTGGGGAGATGGTGACGGGAAATGCATGCATGGAAAGGCATGTATAGGTTGAGGTGACATGCATGCCTCTGCAGCTGTTTTGCTTCAAAACTGTAGGTTTAGTTTAGTAGGTAGTAGAGTAGGAGATTAGGCCCTTGCAAAAGGGTAAGTTCCAACCCTTGCAAAAGGGAAGCAAAGCCTTGCAAAAGGCAAAAAGGCACACCTTTGCAAAAAGGTATAGCAAGCCTTGCAAAAGGCAAAGCCTTGCAAAAGGCAAACCTTTGGAAAAAGGTAGAGGAAAGCCTTGCAAAAGGCAAACCCTTGCCAAGGACACCCTTGCAAAAGGGTCAGCCTCTCACCCCTTGCAACAGGAAACCCTTGCAAAAGGGTTGCTGGCTTGCACAGCCCTTGCAAAAGGGACACCCTTGCAAAAGGGCAGGTCTTACCAAAAGCAGCCTGGCTAGAGCCCTTGCAAAAGGACAATCCTTGAGAAAGGACTGCTTCCACACCCCTTGCAAAAGGGTTGCAGGGAGAGACCTTGCAAAAGGTCCAGCCAAGTGCTCTTCTGCCTGGGCCTTTGTGAAAAGGCACTTCCTCAGCCATGAAAAATGCAAAGAGGCTGAGAGGGTGGAAGAAGGATATGGATCTGGGTGCAGACACAGAAGGAGGAACCCCATCCACAAGTTCTGCACCCAGCAACTTGGCTACAAAGCTATTGTCCCTTTGGGCACATGGCAAGCTCTCTGCAGTGGAAGTGCAAAAGCTCTCCAACCTGGCCACACTTGATGGTTGCAGCCATCCTGAAGTTGCAACTCTTGGAGCAGCTGGGAATTTTGGATAGCAGCCAGGAAATTGCCACAGGGCCTTGGTAAGGTCCTTCTGCAACCAGCTGTCAGTGCCTGAGCCTGGCTTGGTCACATGCAAATGCTTTGACCCCAAGACCAGCAAAATCATTGATGAGGATGTTGCGATTTTCTACCCACACCTCATGTTCAGTGCATTGGCTGAGAGTTACCCAGAAGTTTTTCAAAAGCTTTTCAAGCTTCATGAGCTGCCTGAATTTTGGGAACAAACCTTGGCAAGGGATGATGACAGGCTGGTTAACCATCCAGCAACCCTTGAAAAAGGGTGGGAGCAAGTCACCATCCCTCTGTTCACACATGGTGATGGAGTGGAATATGAATCCAGGGACAGCTTGATGGTTTGGAGCTTTGGACCACTCCTCTCCCAAGAACAATCCCTGGACAGCCACTTGCTCATGGCAGCTTGGCCCAAGAGTTGCACTTGCAAAGACACATGGCCACAGCTCTGGAAAGAATTGGCTTGGTCCTTCAAAGCCCTTGCAAAAGGACAGCACCCAACTCATGATGCAGATGGCAACCCCTTGAAAAAGGGGAGCCCTTTCTGGGCAAAGAAAGGCAAGCCACTGGCATCAGGCCTTAAGGCCATTGTGTGGTGCATTGAAGGAGACCATGAATTCTTCAGCAACAGCTTGGGCCTTCCCCATTGGAGGAATGCATCCCCATGCTGGAATTGCGATTGCCCTCAAGCTGCTGGAGAGAAGCCATACAACAAGCTCCATCCATGGGATCAGTTCACAGAGGTGGATCACTCTTGGGCCCAGGCCTTTCCTAGCAGTGAACACCCCTTGCTAACTGAGGCCCCTGGCAACAGTAGCAGGCTTGTGAGAGGAGATGCCCTGCATATCCTGTTCACAAAAGGTTTGTATGGGCACCTCCTTGGATCCATCCTGCATTATTTGTGCTGGTATGATGAAGGTGCACACCAGGCAACAAAGCCAGCAGATAGACTTGGAATCATCTTCAAAGAGGTCCAAGCAGTGTACACCGACAAAGAAGTGACATGCAGGCTCACCAATTTGGTGCTAAGCATGTTCACTGATCCAAAGAAGCCTTGGGCAAACTGGGCCAACCTGAGCTGTAAAGGTGGTGAAGGCAAGCACCTGGCTCCATGCCTGCTGGAAGTCTTGAAAAACATCTTGGATTTCAGCAAGCCAGAGCACAGCCACATGCTCAAGTGCTTAGAGCATGTATGCCAGGTGGTGGCAATCTGGGACTCTGCAGGAACATTTCTCACAAAAGCAGAGTTCAAGAAGTCTTGGCAATTGGCACAAGATGCCATGAAAGAATACCAGTGGCTGAATGCATGGTCGGAAGATTGTGGAAGGAGTTCCTTCCACATAGTCATCAAGCACCATACATTTCTACATCTTGCAAAAGATGCCTGGTATTTAAATCCCAGAGTCTTCTGGTGCTTCAAGGCAGAAGACTATGTGGGTCACATAAGTACTGTGACCCACAGTGTGTCCATGGGTGTGAAAGCAACCAAGATCAGCCAAAAACTGGCCATCAAGTACAGAATTGTATTACATCTTCTGTACACAAGGCCAGGGTTTCATCTGCAAACCGAGGTTGAATAGCTTGGCTCTGCTATCCCTTGAGAAAGGGACACCCTGGCAAAAGGATTGCCCTTGCAAAAGGGCAATTGCCAAGACTAGCCCTTGAGAAAGGGTGCCCCTTGAACAAGGGAGTTTGCCACAAGCAATCCTTGAGAAAGGATGTCCCTTGCAAAAGGGAAATTGCCAAAATCAATCCTTGAGAAAGGATGCTCCTTAATGCAAAAGGAAACCCCTTGCAAAAGGGCACTGCCACCTTAGCCCTGGAGCTCTTTGGACATCCCTTGGGAAAGGGAAAGATACCAGCACTGATCCTTGCAAAAGGATAAAACCCTTGCAAAAGGGTAAGTTGCCAGAGGCCCTTGAGAAAGGGCATCCCTGGAGAAAGGACATCCCTTGAAAAAGGGAGTGATGGAGCTAATCCTTGAGAAAGGGTCCTGATCCTTGGCAAAGGATAACACTTTGCCTTGAAATTTGTACATACAACCCTCCAAAAGAGGGGGCTGGTGCTGCAATGTCTGGGGTCCAAAAGGGGAAGGGGAGACAAGTGGAAACATTGGAAAATATTGATTTTTATATTAATTTTTATATTGATTTTTATATTGATTTTTGGCTTGCTTTTCAAACCCAGCAAACAAATCAATATAGAAAAATAACACCAAGGGCTCTGAAATCAATATTTTATATTGAAAAAACATTGAAATCAAAAGTGCTTGCCCCATATTGATTGTAATCAATATCGGATGCTCAGGGCTCTGTTGGTCACCAGCACCACAGTCAACCCGTGGATTGTCCAAAACAAGCCAACATCTCTCGCAGTCCGAGCTTTCAACAAATGGTTGAAAGAACTCAATCTCTCCGAACCTAAGAGGAAGGTTCTCTATGACAACTTTGCCAAAATGGAAGAGTGGTGGGAGAAGCAACCCGCTGAAGCTTTGGACACCATCGAACGTGTGGCTGCCACAATGGGCATCCCTGTCAATCTCATGGGAAAGAACTATGAGGCATTGAACCTCCTTCGAACTATGACAGCCGGCATCAGCCTCACCAATTGACTAGCGCCTCTCCTGCGTCGGAAACTCAAGCACAAGGTGCTTCAATCCCATTTGCATATTCTCCATTCGATGATTCTCATCATCTACACTTTGACCCCCTTCACCATGACTCACAGCGTCCCTCTTTTTCAGGGCATTCGCATCATCCAAGCACGCATGATGGTGCTGACAATCCTCCACGGTCTTCGACCAAATCCCAAGCTGAAGTCAATTTTGGAAGGGTGTGCTGACCTTCAACACCTCTGGGGCAACACTCTACATTCCCACAACCTGTTTTCCAGACAATTTTTCCAGCCCCAGTGTGTTTACATCCGTTTCACCCACATCACCAATATGCAACCCAAATTTTACTTGGGCTCTGCAATGCATCATACTCTCGACAGAGAGTACAGCAGATCTCGCCAATATTTCCAACTCACCAACGAGAAACTGGTCCAAGCCGAACTGGCGCTTCGCTACTGGCATGAGCATGACAATCTGTATATTTGGGCTCCGATTCCCATATATACTTACAGAATCTTACAGAGTGGATTACCGAAGCCTCGAAGCAGCCCTCATTCAAGAATGGCAACCTCGGCTCAATTTCCCTTTCATTTGTCAATTCTATCATCCAAAGAAGGGTCTCCTCAAAAAAACCCTTCTACACACCAACGCACAATTTGGCCTTGCCACTCTCTGGCGTCGAGCCAAACACAAATTCACTCCACAATTGGTACGCCAAGTTTTGATGTCCTCACGGT